GTGGTAGTGTTACGCCTGTAGGACTAATAAATTACTGCAAAGCTGAAACTGGACATGATATTCCTGGTTTGAAATGCACTTCCCCTATTCTCAGGTAATGCTCAAGTGTAAGGATATTCTTCCCTCACCTTCACATTCTCAATCTACATCTCAGTTCCACCTAGAGTTTGACTTGAGTTTTTATAAACTAAAAGTTTAACAGAAAATCAGTTTGTAACAACAATGTTTTATCTTTAAAAAAGAATGATTAAAAAAACCCTGAATCGTTTCTATCTGTCGATCATCTATTGTATAAGAATCATGAGCACCTTATTCTGGATTTGTGCAGCTCAGAGCAAGGGCATAGAAACTCATCGAGGAACTGCTGAGGGCCCCTCTGGGCATCCCAGTGCTTAAGAACAACAGAAGCAGCAGTGGCAATGTCCTAAATGGGAATGTGCAACATCAACAAATGATAGCAAAGAGAAAAGTCCCTGCTCCAGAGTTAAGTGAAGAGTGTATTGCTGGATAGTGAGTCAGCAGAACACAACTGAAGATATTTGACAAGAATACATGTAAGAAAAGTTAGCTACGTCAGGGTTTCTTAGAAAAGCTCATAAATAAAGGATCATAATTATAATTGGCTTGCTGAAGAAGGATTAAAAAGAGAGCACTGACAGTTTAATTGCAACTGCTTAAAAAAATACTTTTATTGAGATATTAAAAAATACTTTTATTGAAGCAGCATGAGATAGCAGGAAGACATCTACCTAAATAGTAAGATGTGTTATGGAGAAATCCATAGTCATGAAGTCTGTGAACAAGCTTGTTACAGAATCACAGAATAAGTCAGTTTGGAAAAGACCTCTGAGATCATCAAATCTAACCTTTGACTGATCAGCGCCATGTCAACTAGAGCACGGCACCAAGTGCCAGTCTTTCCTTGAACACCTTCAGGGATGGTGACTGCACCACCTCCCTGAGAGATTGTCATGAGATTGGTTTAAAATACATCATAGCATTTTTTTTTTTAATATAGCTGCTGTATTTGAACTTTGTTGCCGTATTTTTACTGTGCTATAGTTTTACAGTATAACACAATACTGCTGAACTTCATGAGGTTCACTTACAGTATTCATAATCCTGATGTTGGATGAGTGCCATATGTTTATAGGATCAAACTTCCGTGCTTGATTGCTTAGTTTCATCTGTGTGGAATAATCTAAACCAGGTTGAAGGCAGACTTCAGTGGGCAGTATCTCACCTGAGCATCATGTCAAGTATGTAAATTGATAAGATTTTTGCAAAAAGTCTAGGTACAACCCTCTGCAGTTCTGCAAGGTCCTCACTGATTTTGGCTGGAACTATAATTTGACAACTTGAAAATAACTGTGGATATACTGGAAAGTAGATGCAGAGACCAGGTTTGGGAAATGTTAGTTGTTTGCCTTTGCAATAGAGAAAAAGTGCTGATGATGCTCCCCACCTGGCACTGAAGTGGTATTAATTGCTGTAATTGCTGTGATTCAGAGTTGGGCAGTTCCAGATGGGAGAGAGTAAGCTTGCTTAACAGCTAGTAGGCAGGATATGGAAAATTATGGGTCCTGCATAGCTGTAGCTTGGCTCTCTTCCATGTCAGTAGTATTTTGCATTGCTGTGTATGCTGTTAACACCTTGGTATATATGAATAGTGTGGTCACACTATAGCTGCTTGGGGAACTATAACTTTGAACTGTGTAAAATTTATTCATATGATTTCCATTGAGAGAGGTTGTTTCTTTTTTTTTTTTTTTTCCCCGATGGAAGAGGATTATTTAGAGTAGAAAGGCAGGAAAATAAAAGGGGTGTATGTGTGCTTATCTTATTTAGCTATGGAGTTAGCTTACCTGCTTTTTAGGTATTTGAATAGGATTTGAAAGTAATATGGAAGATCTCATTAAGACATTTCCATATATTTATACTGCAGCCTCCAAAGCTGTTCAGCAAACCTGGTAGCTTCTGTGCTGCCAGTGGCATTGGTGCCACTTTGAAGGGTGGCTCTGCTGTGCAGAAGGAGCCAGGGACAATAATTTTTTAGTTGACATGCAAGTTGTGAAGCTCAGCTTGCACCTGTGATTAAAAAGCAGCATAAATGAAAATCGAAAATACTGTAATCAAAATTTTCTGCTTTTTATTAGAGCTCAACTAAAAGACTTTTACTTACTTACAAGAGTAGTTGACCTCTAGTAGATTTTGTACCTTCTGTAGATTTTATCCCAAAAGTGTCTAAGGTTGAACCACGCACATAATTACTTACCATGGACACCTTCAAGGAGCCTGTGAAGACATCTTCATATTTACTCTGATTTCTATTTGAAATATTCATGGAATATATACTTCTGCTGTCCCTTTTTAACCCTTTTCACCAGCAAGGAGCAATCCCTTCAAAATTTTCTGTAGCTGTCATTTCACATGTTCCCCTGTCCTTTGCATCGTGCAACCCATGTTCTGTGTGGAATTATGGAAACTTCTAAATGATTGAGAAGATGATATGCATAAAAACTTTATGCCCCTCATGGTATCCAGTATCCCCTTTCAAGAACTGGTGCTTGAACATGTTTCTGGAATAATGTGAGAAGTTGCAGCTGTGTCCAGCAGATGATTTGGCTGGGGAGTGTAGGTGCAATCTCACCTGTAAATAGTAACTATTACTCTTTTAGAAGAAGATTTTAAATGGCATAAATTACCCACAGTTTCACCTTCCTTGGCAACATAAGATAAAATGCTGGGGTTTGTGTTTCAGCAACTGAGCAGTGGCATAGATGATCCTCTGACAATTTTCTAATGTGATTTTTCATATGTGATGTCAGGGGGTTTGGCCAAGAGGGGCTTTGGCAAGAGGCTGTGGCAGTAATCTCCCAAACTGCCAACTGAGTTTTGACAGGGCTTATCTGGCAGATCTGCAGTGTCTACAGAAGTGTTTCCAGGCCTGTGGCATGAGTAGATTTTAGGTTGAGCAAATTAGCTGACAAAAAGGATTTTGAAGGTTGCTGTGTTACGCTGAGAGGTCTTTGCCATGGACAAAGGAAGTGACAAATAGCTTTCTTTGAAACAAGTGCCAGCCACAAGCTGTAAATCAGCCAGCAGGGAGGTAGAGCTACTAGAGAGACTAGAGAAAGAATGTCACGTAAAGAAAGCCCATGTTTGATCATCCACAGGCCACTTGGACTGTAATACTGGCACATGAAGCAGTTGTCGAGCTTTGTGGTTTCTTGGTTTGGTTGGGTTTTTTTCAACTCTGAAAAGTTAAACCCCCTGCTGGCAAAGCCTGTCCTAGTGTGCACTCTGTCCATCAGCTCTTGTTATTCCACTAAAAGCCTGACTTTCACCTCTTCTTTCATGCTTTCTCTCCTTAGCTCAGAATAACTGCAGCTGCCCTTTAGTCTTTGGCTGTCAGAGTGAGCTGAGCTGTCTGTGCCTCCTGTAGCGCTGTGGGCTCTTTCCCTGAACTGTAATGCATTTTCTTAATGCAATATAGTTTGGAGTTACTGAAAGTCTAGTTTTAAATGTAAGAGCAGTGTAAACTTTTGTAATATTCAGTAAAGAATTCCAAAATTCTTCTTACTGTTGGCAAGTGCTTTAAGAGTGAAGGAATGTCTTGGATGTAATTACATTATCAGGGTTTGATTAGTTTGGCTTAACCAATCAACTATGTAATGCTTTTTATCTATGGAGCAGTTATTTACTTAACTGGCTGCATGTTTTTGTCTTTGAATGTTTCTGATGTCCAGGTAAAACTGTGAGAGTTAGACTGACACTTTATGTACTAGCATTTTAAATTGTTTAGATACACTGAAGTGGAAGATATCCTAAATCTGTCTTTTTTCTGTCCAGGGCAATATTTGTAGAGGTGAGTTGTTCACTGGAAATGGCAATAAGAGACCTCATAATGTGGTACAATCCTTGCTAACACCTCTGCTAGGATGTCAGGAGGTTTTTTATTGTAGTGAAACTCTGAGTGAATGGGAACATCTTTCTTGCAGCTGAAAAGATAATTCGTTCTGAATTACTGTCGTAAAGTGAGTGCATTGCATTGCTGATGTGTAAGTTGCTGCCTACAGAAGAGGAATACCTGTGCTGCTCAAGTAGTGTGTGTCTCCTTCTTCTGATGGGCTTCCATCTGAACTCAGCTCCTGCAATAACTATTGCTTCACTACTGAAGCACATCAGGCTCCCTGTGAGCAAACCTGTAATGTTTCTGCAGCACTCAGCTTTTAAGTGTTGTTTACTCAGTGATACAGACCAAAAGCTGTAGTTTGCCTATGGAGACTCATGTGAGGCGGAGCTGGTAGGTAGCAGTTTTCTTTTGTATTAGGGTTATAAGACAACGTTTCATTCATTTCATGTCACTTACTGAAAAAACTATAAAGGACAGGCGGGAAAAGTTCTGGCAGTGCCAGAGAATACATTGCTGGAGAGGGTAAGTAGTTTTCTCCATTTGCTAGTGGAGAGATGCTTGGCTGAACAAGGGCCAGTAATGGAAGCGGTAATCATTAAACAAGCAAAGACACCAGTTGTGCTCTCCAGAAAAAATCATGACAGAACATACTTCCCGGTCCTGAGACGTGCTAAGTCCCCTGCACAAGGGGAGTGGGACTGCTGCGGGATGAGGGTGCTCAGCCCCTTACAGAATCTCACGTGGTTAAGTGCAGAATTTGTGCATCTGGGCGTGGGAACTGTGATCTGTGAATTTCTTCCCTATCTGCAGAGCTGTTCAGACACAACATTAAAGTGTGATTTGAGTGTTCAGAATAGCAGATAGTGGTTAACTGTTTTTAAAAATGGGTCAAAAGTTGCCGTTTTCCCCCTGAGGTTTTTTTGAGACACATTCCTTTGGATTCCAACAGTTGAGAAAATAACTCTCCGAATTAGTCATTGTGGTTAATTTGTAGATTCCCTCTAGTGAATCAATTCCATAGGGAAAAAATTTGTAATGTGTCAATTGCCATTGCTCTTTTTTTTCTTTTTTCTTTCTTTTCTAGGTGAACATGTTTGTGGAAGGATTCCATGATGCTATTCTTCTTTATGCTCTAGCTTTACAGGAAGTCCTGAAGTTTGGTTTCACTAAGAAAGATGGGGAAAAAATTGTTCAGCAAACACGGAACAGAACATACGAAGGTAAGAGTTACTGTGGCATTCCAGATTTTGGAGTCAAAAGGATTGAGGTCTTTGTTATGTGCAGAGTAAGGACCCATGCCTATTCCACTCTTAAATGAGAGGGAAGTAACATATGAAACCACGTACATCTTTAAGGCTGGCTCACATACCTCATTTGTCTGACTTTTTTTTGCACCACCTGTCGAGGTCTTACTTAGTTCAAAGTACTCTAATAATTTAATGACCCTCACTGATGTGGTAAAGAAATACCAATAATTTTCTCAGGCTCCTTCTTTGTTTTTGAAAAGATTACATCTGCTCGCTTTACTCATGTTCATCTATTAACTCTGAGATTGCCTCATTTTTTCCATGTCACTTTTTTATCTTAAAAGCCTGGGAATGGATAGAAGCAAGCAGGTGCCAGGATTAAGGTTATTTTGTGTTTCTTGATGGGACTCCACTGGGCCCTAGAAGGATTTCCCCCAGCCTCCTTTCAGGAGCTGTGCATGTTATCTCAGAGGCAGCAGCTGAACACCACTGTGCCTTTCTGTGCCTAATCCTGGACATTACAATTCCACAGTGCAAATGGCACTTGTGTATCACCTTGCTGATGCAAAGCAATGCAAATGCTTTTTCCAGGTAAGAATTGTAGTAAAGAAACTGAGGATTATTGGTTTCATCTGTCATCTCTTAAAATATTTCCATCCGTCTCTTTATGATGTTGCCATCCATCTCATGTAATACTTCAGTCATTTGGTGTAGGATTGGCAAGATTTCCTATGGAAATGCCTAAGAGAAGTAAACATTTCCCCTAGATAAGACATGAATGATTCATTTGAATGTGTAAGAAAAACCCTGGTGGCCAGGTTCTCAGCTCTAATAGCACACTGGATGTTGTGTAGGAAGGCAAGAAGGGCAGCAGCTCCAAACCAAGTTTTTATTCTCAAACTGTGGCCTGAACAGAAGGCAAAAGGATACCCAGGGCAGCTTAAGGGAACTCAGGGATTGCTTTAAATTATGCTGGTTGCAGTCATCACATAAGAAGCCCTCCACCAGCTGGAGATTGTGCTTGATGTCCCACTACCTCTCTTCACATCCATGGCTTCCCAAAACAGTCTGTTTTAACAGAGGGAATTTAATGTTTAGGGATTTGCCTCAGTCTTTGCTTGTCCTGTGTATGAACAAATGCCCCAGTACAGCCTGTGTTTTCTCTACTCCTGTTTCTGTGCTCCAGGAAGCCACCCACCGGGCGTGCCCATGTGAGTCTTTTGTAGGACCATGTGCTTCATGGGGGTTTTACATGGTTGATTCTCACACCTTGCGTGTAAAACCAGCCAGGAGGAAAAAATGTTCTCTCTCCTCACTTGTGAAAACCAGGTTGTTGTTGATTGCTGATCTGTGTACACTTATTCTGAAAATGTAGCTGTAAAGTTTGGGCTGTGAGGGTGCAGATGAAAAGGTCAAAACACCACGTAAGTCATATCCCGTTTCCTCCCCATGGCAGTATTTTGCTGGACATAAAACTGATTTTGGAAGAGGCCTTTAATTTGATATCTTGCAATCCAGTCCTTTTAGGAAGGTCATGTCCCTTTGTTCTTCCAGTAGACCCTTCTCTGCGGTGGCTGCAGCATTGCAGAGTGCAGTGCCTGCACACACCCATCAGGCTCTGCTGCAGGACTGAGGCTTTATAATTCCCTTCAACTTTTGCAGGCCTCAGTGATGAGAACTTCAGTTTCATTAATTACGTTAATTCAACTGCTGACATTTAGATATCTAAGTTCCTTGGCACCTCATGTTACAGCTTGGTCTGACCCATCAGGACTCCCAAGAGGATCTGGATGCTGCTTCCTGCAGCATTCCATCTGCCAGCCACAAGTGCACAGATATCATGTGCTTAGGAAGGGTTCAGTCTGAGGTGATCAAAGGGTCTCTTACTGCTTGCGTTGTTAATGACACCTTGGTGTGACTGCAGGGCACATTTTGTGGAGACTATTTTCTATTAATTGGAATTTCCTCTGGAAAAGTAGCAAAATGTTCTGTATGTATCTGTATGTATCTCACATAACAGAACAAAAAGAAAGTCTAGGTAAAATCCTTCCACCTTCATCCAAATCCAGTTCTCAATCAAGGTTGTTTCAGAATTTCCTACCTATGTTTTCTAAGGAAGAACATTGCAGGAAATATCAACATTCCAAACTACCTGTTCTGATTCAGATGGTAAAATTAAAAATTAGTCTTTCCTGCTAAAAAAAAAAAAATCCCATAGGAATTCTGAGTTTCAATAATTTTAGTACCCACTTCCAAAAATTTTTGGTTTTCTTAGGCCAGGTTAACAGCTCCTGTCAGATTCAGAATCGAAATTGCTGTGTAGGCAAGGACATAGTGGGCTCTTCTTCCAGTGCTCTCACAGCCAAGTGGTTGTTACACCCATTCTGTTTTCCTGCAGTAATCGAATTGACAGTTGTTTGATTACTATCTTGTTATAACGAAACAGATGCTCAACAATAATCTTTGATTACCACTACATATTTTGAAAATCGCAGCAAGTCAAAACATTCCTGACATCATCTCTAAATCAGAACAGAGACAGGATGAATGAAGATGTGTTAATCTGTTGCATGTTCACTGTCATTAGGCACATTGAGGGGAATTTATACTCTGACTGAATATCTGACCTCTCTCTTCTGATTTACCATCGCTGAGAGCCTGAGTCTCCACAGCTTTGTGTCTTCTCTGGTCATGTAGTTGGTGTAACATGGATATACAGTGGTACCTATTTGCCTTGCACATGTGTAAATAGCTGTGTTTGGTGTCAGGCAGTGGAGGATCACATCTGAGAGTATCTGAGGTGATAAAGCATATCAGCAACTTCATGATGTCTTCATCATAGTTAATTGGTGTTTGATGGCTTTTAAGAACCAATTTGACTTACACAGCAAGAATTTGGAGCCATGCTGTTTTTACACAAGGACAGAGATTGTAAGAAGAGATTCAGACTGAATCCAAGGATGTGTTTATTCCTTGTGACATCTGGAACAAGTTGCCCTAGTGAGGTTGTGCAGTTTCCATCATTGGAGGTTTTAGAGACTAGATAAAATCCTGCACATCCTTCTCTTCTGACCTTGTGGCTGACCCTGCTCTGAGCAGGGTGTTCGGCTCTGATATGCTTTGAAGCTGGCTCCCTGCCAAGTCTCCAAACCTTACCACAAGAAGTCCCCTCCCCCCCCAAACCTCAGGGAGAAGAGGGAGAAAAGCAACCAAGAAAACCGAAACGAGAGAGAGACAGCTAAAGCAATATATATAAATATATTTACACTTATATTACAGTTATATACAATTGAAATATATATACAGTTTCACAAGGGAAAGGAAAGGGGGAAGGGAGAAGGAACAAAACCAAAATAAAATATATATATATATATATCCTGATTAGTAGCCCAATATCTAGCAACTAAAAAAAGTTAGCAAAGAAATATCTCACTACTCTCCTTGGGACAACCGAGAGTCGCTCTGGACCGATCGCCGACAACCTCCGCCTCCCAAGGCTGACAAGGCCTAACCAGACCTCACTCCCCAACACGGCAGACTCAACAGCAGGGAACCTGCACCTCCGAGTCGCCGGAAGGAAAGAGAGCGAAGGCCTCTCCTCCTTTCTTCTTATAGTCTGGCTTACGTAAAAATTGTAGGGAATACTGGGTAAATCTGGGCTTTTCCTTGGTTACAAACTGGTCACCAAGGAAGGCCTAGACCAAACTACCACAGGCCCAATGTCTCCTGAAGCCGCTTCAAACTTGAGATATCCTACGAGTCTATGATTCCCAGTTTCCCTAAAGTTTCCCAGAAGTTGTAAAGGAAGGAAGTGAACTGGGGGTCTAAGAAATATATTACAAACAGCATCGTATTATGTAGTTAATCTTAAGTAAATGAACACAGGGCTTAATGCATATGTAGTGCACATGGTGGCTCTTGTTCATACCCTCTCCAGTATCCCATTAGATGGAAACTACGTTGGACTGGCTGTGTGGGTGCAGTCTGTGAGATGTAGGCCTGTGTCCTCTGCAGCACGAGCTGGACTCTTTTTATTGAGGCACCATTAGATATTTCAGGGTTAGGCACTCTGTAAATAATTCACATTAAATATATTTGTGTTTTATTCTTACATGCTGGCTTTTGGATTAGATTTTTCTCACGTAGTCTCCAAAAAGTCTCACACATTTGATATTTAAAAAGGAGAAATGTTAAGAATTCAGGAATGCAGGCACCAAGATGAAATTACAATTTCTTTTGGAATGCCAACAAAAATGCTGGGAGACTGATGAGATTTCCTGTCATATCGGTCTGTAAAAACCTGTCCACTGTTTTCTTGTGTTCCTTGAAAAGGCTCAGTATTTTAACTAATTAATCTTCTGATTCCTCGCATGCCATTCTTTAGGCATTGCAGGGCAGGTGTCCATTGATGCAAATGGAGACAGATACGGGGATTTCTCTGTGATTGGAATGACAGACCCAGAGGCAGGCACACAGGAGGTAAGGAAACAAACACCATTGCACTTGGCCACTGATGAATTAACCAGTGTAATGTAACATGACATCATCTCTTTACTTGGTGGTTTAACCTTATCAACTTAAAGACCAAATCCTTTCTGTAAAATAACTATCTTGAAGTAGTTATCTGAAAGTTTTTTAAACTTCTTTTCTTTCACAATACATCTTTCTTCACATGATGCTAGCCTTTAACTAAAGTGTGAATTCTCACAAGCCAGCTAAGCAATTATAATTCTGAATATGAGGAATTATTGTTCAAAGTGAGCAAGACCTTTTATTCACTGGTAGGAAAAAGGATTAATCTTACAGCAGCAGTGATGCACAAGTTATCCTGATGTATTAACACAGCAAGTACATGTATTTCAGTCTTACACTGAGGTCAACCACAAGAAGGAGTGCAGGCCTTGCTTGGCCTTGTTTATCAGGCCTAAATGCCTTGTTTTCAGTGTTTAAGAGACATTTTAGATGGCTCCATATACACCACATAGGTTATTCCACTGGATGCAGGAGTGGAAGAGATGAAAAATAGCACGTCTAGGCTGAATTTATTAATACATGCATTGCCTAACTCCAGTTGCACCTTTTGTTAGTTACAAAGTCAGTTTCTGCCTAAGCTTTGCTGGTCTGCCCTATTTCATCAAGGTCAACTGTAAAGCAGCAGTGCATCTGAGCTGGACATTTCCATGTGTGGATTTGAATCCAGTGAAGTTATATTGTTCCTGTCACTGCTGCAGCAGAGACAACTCAAGGAGCCTTTTTAAAAGTGTGAGGATGTCTTTTGTGCATTAGTGGATAAAAGTCGATAAAAACTACAGCAGTAAACTGCAGACACTCACAAGGGTAGTAGGAGTACAAGTTGTTTGCAATAACTTTGGTTTGAACAACCTGTATTTCTTCTGTTTATTCAGTCCATTAACTCTTTATCTCATTTATCAATTTAATCTCCTTCTCCTACCCTCCCTTCCATTGCTCTTTTACTTGCAATTTAAACTATCTTTTACTTTTTTAGTGTTACATTTCTTCCTTTAACTTATTGTTCAGTTTCCCTCTGCTTTACTGTGTATAAAATATACATACAATTAACATTTTACATGTGATTACTTCCACTTATCTGCTACATCATTTCTACTCTTACTCTAAAAACATTGTTTCTTTGATAACTTATTTTATTAGTTTGAAGTTTTTTTCTGTGTCTGTACAAGAACGTTTCTCAGCTGAACTGCGCCAGATGAATGGGTGTTTGGGCAGAGCTGTTTTCCCAATTCTGTTCGCACAGTTTAAAGCTAGAAGAAAACTTCAGATTACCTAGTTTGACCTCTGCCATTTTACAGACAGTCAGGTTTCTTACCCTTGTATGGAGCCCTGTAGTTTACACGTGACTAAAGCTCAGGCTGTAACAGGCATTCATTTTTCCTTTGGAGACACTGAGAGAACAGGGACTGCCTCGCTTGTTCCGTCAACGTTTGTTCCACTGTTTAACCACTTCTGCTCTTCAAAAATCTGTATCGTCCTTCTGTTCTGAATCTGCTTGGTTACTGCTTATAGCTTTTTGTTCTTAAGCCGTTCTGCATACTTTCATATTTAGTTTGTCCTGCAGGTAGAGGACTCTCTCACTACTGTTTGATAAATTAAACCATCATTTAATGAATAATTTGCTTCCTGCAAATTGTCTCAGAGGTTTTTTTCCTCTGCTTTTTCCAGTTTACTGAATTTGCCTTTATTTTTGAACAGACGTTAAAAAACCTCTTTCTGCAAAGAATTTCTATTTCAGTGGCAACAGGGAGAGAAATTAGCTCCTTCATCTAGTGTAAAATCTACCTTTGTATGTCTAACCAGAGCAAACGTTCTCTAAACTTTTTAGCTTCAAAATGAAAGTTAGGTGAAAGATTTGAACAGGCCTTGAGTTCTAAACCCGGTGTATTAATACGTGGGTTTTATCCATGGTGGGACAAATACATCTTTTGATGTGCTTCTGCCACTGCTTCTGACTACTTAAGTGTCATGATATTTGGCCTTGCTTACTGTACATAGATGTTTTTAGACTATTTTCAGATTAGTGAACTACTACTGTTAGCACAATTTAGTCCCACAACTTTGCAGTAGATTCAACATCTTACCTTGAAAAAAACTTGGGCTTAACTGTTAAAGGCAGGACTGAAATCCTGAAGTGACTGTCATAGTTCTTCAGAAGGTTTGAAGACTTTAACTGACCTTAATCAAGTACCTCCAAATTCTGACAAAATAGAAAACTCCAACCTAGACTGTGTAGTTGGAAATCTCAGCACTGTATCTACTTGAAATCATAAAACCATAGGACCACAGAATGGCTTGGGTTGGAAGGGACCTTAAAGATCGTCCAGTTCCAACCCTCCTGCCCTGAGCAGGGGCACTTTCCACTAGACCAGGTTGCTGAGAGCCCCATCCAGCCTGGCCTTGAACACTTCGAGGGATAGGGCATCCACAGTTTCTCTGGGCAACCTGTGCCAGTGTCTCACCACCCTCACAGCAAAGAATTTCTTCCTAACATCTAGTATAAATCTCTTTTAGTTTAAATCTGTTCCCTCTTGTCCTGTCACTACCTGCTGTGATAAAGTCAACCTCTCTCTATTTCATAACCCTCTATAAGTACTGGAAGGCTGCAATGAGGTTTCCCTGGAGCCTTCTCTTTTCCATGCTGAGCAACCCCAATTCTCTCAACCTTTCCTCATAGGAGAGGCGTTCCAGCTCTCTGATCAACTTTGTGGCCTCCTCTGGACTAATTCCAACAGGGCCACGTCCTTCTTGTATTGAGGACCCCAGAGCTGGGTTCTTTGCTCCAGGTGGGGTCTTACTAGAGCAGAGCAGAGGGGCAGAATCAGAATCGCCTCCCTTGGCCTGCTGCCCACCCTGCTTTGGATGCAGCCCAGGACATGTTGGGCCTTCTGGGCTGCAAGTGCTCATGGCTGGGTCATGTTCAGCTTTTCATCCACGAGAACCCACAAGTCCTTCTTGGCAGGGCTGCTCTCAATGAGTTCTTCCCTCAGTCTGGACTCATGTCTAATTACTGATACTTTCACTTGGATGAGAGTCCTGGGCACTCAACCCACTGTGCAGCAAGTGAAGAAAGCCCAGGGACAAAGGAGGAATATTCAGAAGGTTAAAAATCTTAAATAAATGGGATTTATATAGAAGAGAAGCCTGAGGGCAGACCAGATAAGGGCCTGTGAATATGTAAAGCAATGTTTCAGAAAGGAAGAGTCTCTGTGTCCACTGGCAATTGGGTAAGTAGTGACGGACAATTACAACAAAGGAATTTTAGGTTACATGCTAGGGAAAACAACTGACAGTAAGGCTAGCTAAGTTCCGGAATAATTCCCTGAAGAAATTATCAAGTCTTTGTCTTTGAAGGCTCTTAAGAACAGATTAGATAAACATCTGTCAGGAATGCTTTTGCTCAGCTGATTCTGCCCTGGGGCAGTGCATACACTACATAACTTCCCACAGACCTCTTCAACCCTCTTCTTCCAGGGTTCAGCATTGTGCCACAGGAGTCCAACTGAGTGATGCTGCTCTCCTGTTTGTTTTACTTCTCCAAGTTCATAGGAAAATCTTTTCATTCCTTTCATGTTTTGCACAGGTGATCGGGGACTACTATGGAAAGCAGGGGCGTTTTGAGATTCGGTCAAATGTGAAATACCCTTGGAATCATGGCAGGCTGCGGCTAGATGAAAGCCGAGTTTCAGAGCACACAAACAATACACCGTGTAAATCATGTAAGTTTAGTGACTTAATGCTTCTGCCCCAACTCAAGAGAGAGGAATCCATGTGTTGATGCAACGTAACAGGCCGTAATAAATTGCTTTAGCACAGTTGTCCATCTAACACATAGTGACAGTCTCTCTCTGCTAACTGCTTGGGAAGTAAAGGTCTGGCAGCCGTGGGTAGTACATGGCCTGAATCTCTTCCCTGAACTTAAGCTTGACAGCAATCATGATTCACAACACGGAGCCCTGGAGGCTTTAGGAGTTTCCAGGGGCCTTTTAGTCAGAAAGAAGGATATAACTGAAACCCAAAACAGAGAAGAATCACACTGATAATTAGCAGCTGTGCTGCCAGTGCTGATGGGAGCAGCGTTCTCCCAATGCAGAATGATTTTCAGTGCTATGAGAAGGGACTGTGAGAGGTCCAGCAGGCTGAGAAGTGAAGTTGTTTGAGTGGGGTAACATCTGTGAATTCTGAAAGCTCAGACTGTCCTCCACAGAGCAGGTGTCCATATTTTCCAGCACATTGACTTTCCAGACCATGTTGTAGGATTGATCTCCATTGCAAAGGAGATCAGCGTAGGAGGATACCAGTGCCTCGGTGGCAAAGGGTGGTCTTAGCTTTTCACAGAAAACAAATTGCTAGTCCTGAAGTGAAAAGGTAACTCCAGCCTGATAATTCTTCAATCCTTGAAAAACCTGTGTGTACACACGTGATGTAGAGACTGTTTCCCTCTATGGTCAGTGTGGTGTAACTATGCACCTTCTTCCTGCTGACGTACAGACAAAATCCCTTCAAAGGGGCGAGGGCAAATGAAGAGAAGGGAACAGTTTAATTTCCTTAATATTTCTCTGTTCCTTTCCACAAACTCAGGTGGACAAGGAAATGGGAGCAGACTACATGCATATGAAAATGCCATTGTTCTTCAGCTGCCCTGTACTTCCCAGTGACAGTTCTCCTTGGGCTCCCCTTCAGCCACTGTGTCCCTGCTCTGCCTCTGTTGAGATTTGGAGCAAGGCGAAGCTCATGTGGCTTTAACTTGAAACCACGTATCTTCAGGAAAAAAACCCAAAACCAAAAAAACCACCCCAAAATTGAGGAACTGTTGGATAATCATAGTCATTTTAATAAACCCGGGTGATAGAGGTCTGTGATGCTAAACCAGGTGAAATGAGTTTGTTTGTGTTACAGTGACTCGGTATACTCAGTGCTGATTCCCATTATGTGCGTGACTGTAATCCCAATCTGTGTTATGATTCAGACCAAGCTTTCCAGAGAAGTTTCCTAACAACATTCCCTTGTATCGTATCTCCAGAATTGTGTCGTCATCTGACACTGATTTTGGAGGCTTGTTTAATCCCAAGGAAAGCATGTACAAAAAACAAACGTGCAGACACTGAAACAGGTTCTCATGGAGCTCTGAAAGGCTTTAGTTATTTTCTGATGTTGGTCACTAATTTCCTAGTTGTGTGTATTTTCCAGTACATGAATGCAAACAGTTCTCAATATGAACCCTGATTGTTTATTTTTCCCCTTCTCAAGCAGGTGGTCTAGGAGAATCAGCAGTTACAGGAATAGTTGTGGGTGCCTTGCTTGGAGCAGGATTGCTAATGGCTTTTTACTTTTTCAGGTTAGTCCAATTGAAATTTTGTAAACTTTTTATTTGTCATCTAAGTGTCTCAGCTCCTGGCACAACATCCTTGATGGGAGACAGAGAAGCACCATAATAATCTGTGGTAACGTTTTCACCAAAGACAGTGAGCACATTTTGATTGTCCCTTTGTGTTTATCTAAATAATTTTGTTGATTTGGGTCTTCATCCTGTAGCTACTCACATCTCTAAGTAATGTGACTCATGGAAGTAATTGCAGTGGGTTCCAGACATTCACAGTTGCTTTAGTAAAATGCCCTGGCCTTGAAAGCCTTCTTTGTTTGGTACTCATTTCTAGCACAGTTGTGCAGGATGTGATTGTATGAGAGGTTTACATCATTTGCCTGGTACTGAGCTTATTTTTTTGCATGTTGAGTGGAATTGTACTGGAAAAGAGAAAGAGATTTCTGTTTTGGTCTGAGAGATTATTTGGATAGCAAAGCTGTGCATTTAACTTAATAAGCTGAGGTCAGTGCAGGGGAATCAGTGTTTTATTCTTGTTTAAGTAAAATAATTCTTACACCGCTAGTCAGCAAATGTGAAGTCTTGACAGCTGCTCCTGTAGTGACAGAATAAATTAGTTATACACATTCAGCACCTTATATATACAATAATTTATCCTCATGATATGGAAGAGTAAAAACATATAGGAGAAGAGAATTAACCTCTGCATATAAGAATGAAATAACTCTATCCAATAAAAATATATGTTATAAAGAAAGTTAACAAAATAAAACAAGCAAAAGCTGCCTCAATTCACTGGGGCACTTCAAAGGTCCCAGAACCGGGGTTGTTCGTCAGGTGCTTGCAACTGAAAATTCTACAGGGTGATTTTAATCTTGCATGTGTTCAGTGCTTATATAATATGTTGTTTGGGTTTGAGACAACATTAAGTTAGCTTGGACTGATTAAAGACTATCTTTAAAAGAAAAAGAAAATACGAGTCTGTCCTTATATTTTATGTAATCAGAGATTCTTGCGTCTTATATAGATTCTCAATCAAATTACAGTTGTTAGGTGTTTTTAGCATTGCTGATAGTGGGAGAGAATTGGTATGTAAGGACAAGAAATGAGGCAGTAGATATCCTGAGCTGGTATAAAGCTATGGGAAGTATCATTGTAAGAACAGGACTTAAACTCATAGTCATCTGACACAAAGATTTGGATTGGAAATCCATGTGAGCAAAGGAGGGTGTCTGTAAAAGTAGATGTACACACCTGAGTTCAACACCCAGTCTTTTTATGTATGGTCAGAGGGGAGAAATGAACACTCTTTTCCTCTGCAATTTATGTCATCCTCATGTAAAAGCTAAACCAGGTCAGAATAATGTCTCTTAGAAGAGCCTGTTTCTCTCTGTTAACTGAAGGAAGCTGCAGGTACTGTCAGATGGATCTGCACATTGGAGATGTCTAAAGACATATGCGTGAATTTCATCCTGGAGATCTGATTGCAATTGCTCAAAGCAGGAGTAGGGACAACCTTCTTATTCCACCTGTAGAGTTAAATGTCTGAAACATAATGTATCAGGATGCATGGGTTGGATTTTCAGAAAATATAGGTTTAGCAGTTGTGTGCCTGAAAGTAATTTGTACCTTTTAAACTGTATATGTACTTTCTGACTGTGTCTAATTTGAATCTGTCATTGTCACAAATGAGTATGCAAACACAGTTTTGAGTGTGCACGCAAACTGTTAAAATATCTGGGTAGGAGTTTTGATATGTAGCTTTGACAGGACTTAAGCACTTGTACATCCAAAATGTGGACCTATCCTTTTGCAAGAGCTACTGCTATGCATGCTCTGAGCCATGGAAGAATCTGACTTAAAAATACATAAAGGAAGTAAACAAGACAGTTTTATCAAGTTATGTTGGAGCCTATGATACAGACACAAATATCTAGGGAATATTTTCAGAACTTTTAGGTTGCCACTTTCTATTCAGACATGCTACCCAGATTAAAACCTTGGTGTTTTGAAAATCATTCTTCCACTGCTACATGTGCTCTGACTCTGGCTACACATGCAAGTGGAGCAGAGCTTTCCTTGGCATACAAGCTTTTTGCCGTGCATCTCCACAGGCAGTACAAGCTCATCGGACTGGACTAACATCTTTTGGAAAAATTTGTCCTGAAGCTGAGGAGAAGCATAAATGCAAATCATCTTACGATTTTTGGAGCAGGTTTGGGTACTAAATGAGAAGCTGAAAAGTAGTCAGAGGGCTTGTTTGACGTATAAAGTAACATAGCAGAATTCTTCTAAAGGCCCTAGAGGAAGACACACAGGAAGAGCTGTGTCTGATGCATGAACATTTGTGTTTATTTCTTATCTGTCCTCTGCATCCCTCTCCTTAATTCATCATACTACCTCATCTGACATTACAAACATAGTAGCTTTCTCAGAGGGAAATGGGAAAATCAGTTAGTTAATACACAGTTTTGATGAGAAACGCAACTGAATAGTCAGTTCTGTTGTTTGAACTCTCCAGAAAGTGCCCCCCCCGCCTAGTGAAAAGAAATTTGTCTTTGATCAATATAAAGCAGTGATGTGACACAGTTCACATGACACTTCACAAAAACTCCTAATCACTTAGATCAGAAATTTTCAAAGAAGCAAATGTCTGTGTCTTGGTGCTTTGAGACTGCCATGTAGAAATTAACAGGCATTCTTGAGCCTGGGTAAAATGTTTTGAGGAAAACGACTTTAATCTTTGACCAGGGTTTCACATTCTGCCACATTTCATTTTTCAACTGGCACCCAGCTGTCCCCTACAGGCATTCTTTATAAGGGAAGTCTGTTAGCCTATAGCTGGAGAAGGGTTTCTCACTCTGTTTTTTTTCTTTTCATGCAGAAAGAAATACAGAATAACTATTGAGAGACGAACTCGACAGGAGGACTGTAACATGGGGAAACATCGGCAGTTACGTGAAGACTCCATTAGATCTCATTTTTCTGCTGCATAAAGAAGAGGAAAAAGAATCCCATTCTTCCTAGGGAAAAAAAAATAATTAGGGAAAAGGACACAACCAAAGACATCAGTGTAGAAAGAGGCTCTTGAAGAACATACTCTTTTAAGCAGTAATTTTGTCTTAATTTCTTTCAGAAGCTCAGGAATGATTTACTAATCACATTATGCCGCATGGCCTTTCATCTCATGAAAAAAGAAAATTATGCGGTTTGATGTTATAGGGTGTACTTAATATGTAAAGACAGTATTTCTTAAAGCATGTATTGAGGGCAGCAGATCTGGGTTTAGTTGATGGGGAATGCCTCATTGTGTTCCTTTTTTTTTTTTTTTTTAGCTTCTACCACCTCCTTCCATAATTGCATCTCATCCATGGGTGTCAGATATGGTTTCACAGGCACAGGTGCTGGTTGCTGTCAAAAGGAAAAAAAGAGATTTATTTGGGGTATGATCCTGCATCACTGAATCACTGCCATTGGTTATAGGGGATATAAGATTTGGTGTACGGAGTTTAGTTCTGGGAAAGAACTGGCACTTGGGTCTAATTAACTCCACTGAAAAAGGCAGGTGGAAACACACACAATTCTTTCCTTGTTTGTGTGGTATCACAATCAAAAGCACTGTTTCTCCCTCTTAAATGCTGGGAGTTACGAAAGTCTTCAGTGAAGAATGGGGAGTTTTGGTGGTGTGAAATAGGGAGAGAAGACAATCAGGCCTTGGAGAGGACTGTTTAATTCCTCAGTCTTAACATGTGTTTTATCACGCTCTTTTCTCTCCTCTGCCGTGACTTTTCAGAGTGGCAAATATAGACCGTGTCGAGCCTGCTCCTGTTCTCAGTGAAGTCAGTGGCAAAATCCCATTAACTTCAATGAGCACAGGACTGCATCCAAAACTGTAAATATGAAAGTGTTTGTATAGCTGATGCAATTAAAAAGGGGATCTTTTTTTGTGTAAAAATGACATTCCATGCTTCCATTTTATTTTTGGGATATTTTTTATCTTGTATTTTTCTATTAAAGTATCTATTTTTGCTTTGGTAGGATTAAAAATAAAGGAAGAGGATGTTTTGAAGACATATTTTTTATGATAGGAGTAGTATGCAGGGAAAGTCAACAGCTGTAAATACATTTTAGAACTAGCATTTAGGGGAGGAGAAGTGACTTTGTTGATAGTAACAGACTTTCTTCTCCAGGCATGTGCAACATTCAAGTAGTTACTTAAACAATATAAATGCAGTTATTGAGTTGTCAATGGGATGATGGTGCTGATGGTGAAAATTACGAATTTTTCTTGTTAAAGGGTCCTACAGAAGTTGGTGAGATTTAGCTGTCCCTGTGTGTACAATTGAACAACCAAGGAACTACCTTCAGGAATTGGGTGGTAAAACACTCTTCTAGTGGTGACTTTAATCCTGCTGCCGTCAGTATCCCTGGGACTTTTGCCATTGATTTTAGCAGGAGCAAAACTGAATCTGTGATGAATTAGCTACTGACAGGTTATTTTATACTAGACAAAGGAAAGTTTTGCACTTTCTAGTCAACAAATGGAAATGAACCGTATACTTACTGTAAATGTGGTGAAGAAGACCCATAAAATATTGTCTGTGGGAAAACTGAGCTATGACTATGGTTCTAGTGCATGAAATATTTTGGTTTATCCCGTTCTGATTTTGTAAGAAAAAATTGCTGGTCTGAGCTGTCATAATCAGATTTGAAAATTAATCTCAAAAATGGCTCTGAAGCCTGACTTCTACAAAACTTCTCATCCCTGAGAAGCTAGGGTACCAACTCTGAGAAACCACTTTGGGGTTGCTGTAAGTGAATGAAGAGTTAAAACCAGCTATGCCTCCTTTCTGCTGCCTTTTATTTGTTGATGGACTTTTTTTCCCATTATATTTCACTCCTTTCTTAGCATATATAGAGGTTCATCACCTGCCCTTGTTAAATACTGTCCAATTTTCCAGACAGACAGAGGGTAGGTCTTCCTGACTGTCAGGGCAGCTCCAGTACAGGGAGTAGATTTGCATCATCCCATTGCCACCTCTGGGCCTGTGTGACTTCTGCAACGGTGCCTTGGGCAGGTTTCTGAAGTAGCCTCCTTATCTCATGGGTACCAGAGAAGAATGTAGGCTAGAGCAGCATTCATACTGCTATGGAATTGGGGAGAAAAAAAGACTTTGTGATTAGTTTATTTTTCTCAAGCAGTTGAGTTTGCCTAGTCCCTGGGCATGCTTAAAGTTTGGGGTTTTTTTTAATAGTTTCCAAGGCAGTTTTGATCTACTTCTTATTTTGCAAAGTTGCATTTCAGTATCTTCTTTTGCCCGTTTGACTACTTTACCACAGGAAAAAAAGAGAAGGAAAATTCTTACATATATAAAAATAAGAGGGTGTGATTTGAACCATAAACTTTTTTTGAAATTATTTTTGTTGTGACTTTGCAGTGTAAACTAGTACTCAAACAGTCACTTAAGACAGTTGTGTAGATTTTATTTTTCCTGTACCATGCACAGTTGGGTCGGACCAGAATATCTGAGACAGGAGATCCGGCTGGTACAAGAAATTGTTAAGAGAGTTTGTTTATTTATTGTGTCATTTTATGATAACTATAAAAAAGTATAGTGAAATATTGCTTTTTATTAAAAAAATAATGATTCTGATCCTTGGTTTTATGTAGGGTTTTAAATCATGATCTCAAGAAGTGTTTTCTGTGAGTGTTTCTATGAGATGTCTCTTGGTAGGATGCTGACAGAGGCTTAGCCAAAACTATACATCTCAGCACTTCCCAAGAAAGGTGAATCTTTCTTGCACATTAGAGTGTTTTAGATCAATGGGGTTTAATCTTTCTACATTGATGCACGCAAATGTGCATTCCACTTTCCCGTGGAAGTGTGGAGATTATTTAAGACATTTCAGGTAAGTAGATTCCTGTATAGCATAAACAGACTTGCTCATCTTAGCTGCCTTTCACAGGCCTCTTGCAAATAGTTCCCAGGTCTTCTCTGGACCATAGATCAAAAACTGCCTTGGGTTTAGATTATTCAGCGGAGAGATTCTTTACCGGCTAATGCACTGTGCCTTTCTGGTTCATCTGCATTAGCTCAATGCCACAATGTTTAAGCTTCAAACTCTGCAAGGGAATGTCTAATCAAAATAATAATAATTGATTCTCAAAAGAGGTTTCAAGACCTACATTTTTGACTTCAGCAAATTGCCCGTATTACAAACACACATCTGTATTACAGAGCAGCACAAGGAGACCCTTCTCCCAGCTCAGCACTTCAGAACATACTTAAAATATGTTCAACTTCAGCTTCTAAGTGCTTTGCTCACTTGGGACCAAAGGATATGGTCCTGGCCATGGCTGAACCAAGGGGAAATTTGCCATGTGCTTGAATTGGAGAAAGGTTGGCCCTGTAGGTCATATGTTTCTTGCTAAATCTAACAGTTGTGCCTGTTAAATTGAACTTGAAGTAGCAGCTTCATACTTTTGTTTGTCAAAGTTTAACAAATTCTGCTAATTTTGGTTTGTTTTGTTTTGTTTTTTAATCACCAAATAGTGATCAGCTTAATGGCTGATTCACCTCAGAATCTTCTTCCCAAGGATTCTGACAGTTTACCTGTCACCTTCTTAACTTCAACACACAGGCTTCCACTGCAAGTGACAAAGATGAAGCAACACTTTGAAAAGTATCTGTAATTTATTATCCTGAAACCCACAACTTCAGAGTCAGATGCCTAGATGTTTTGTCCCGAGCCACTGGTAGTTCTGGAAGTTTTTTTGTGCTTCATTGAAGGCTACACCCAGCTAAGCTCTGAAAACATTCAGTCATTGGTAAAACTGATGGTTGTGAGTGGTCTGCACCTTGCAAGATTGTGGCCAGAATTCACTATTAAAGAGTTAGGTTAATTCATGTATGAAAATAAATTGAATTGATCTATTTTCAATTTAGTTTTAAGAAATGCATTATTGCATTATTGAAAGCTTTTTTTGAGGTTTTTTTATGTATTAATAAACTGTAGCTAATGCTTTGAAAACATTCATGCTGGAGAAATTAAGAGTCTTCTCCCTTACAGAATGTTTTACTGGGAGGTTGATCTCTGAGTCATGTTTTGGCTTGGAAGTGCAAACATACTGTCATGAAGCTGACAAAAAAACTCTCATTGATTCAGTGGAAGTAAACTCAGGCCCTCAGTGCAGTGTCTTTAGGCTTGAAGCAGTTCAGGGTGAGTTTCTCAGCTTTGCAGTAGAACAGGCTGCATCAGCCTTAGCTGACCTTGGCTCCAGTGCTATTTTCACCTCATGAATGCCATAATGCTCCTGGAAAGCCAAGAATAGACATCAAAGACAGGAAGCCAATAGTCCTGGTCATAAATTTCTCTGGCAATTCAGTCCACCTTTCCCGCAGCTCAAGACATTTCCACATCCTTCACTGCCCTCCTCTGTGCTTCAGAGTGTGGCCATGTAGCAGTTCTAGTTCTTTCAGTAAAGCAGTTGAGGTTATTTTTCCTCATTTTTGCCCAGGGTAGAGTAAGCAGTCTTTAATCCCCCTTTTTTTTCATGGTCTTTTGTGTAGATTTAGAAGTACTTTGACAAGAGACAGCCATTTCCCATAACCTGATCAGAAATGTTCCTTCACTGCAAGTGTTGGCTTTCATGTAATTTCAGACATGGTTCATTGTCTCTATGCTGCTCAGCTGCCAGCACACCTCGTGTTGGCCCGTGGCCACACCAGCCACTGTGTGAGATCTAGACCCAGAATTGTCTATTGGGTTTTTTTATCCTAATTGTTGCTGCTATAAAATGATGTCAGATCTAGCCACCAGCTTCCCCAAAGCAGGGCATATGAGAAGAGAAATACAAGTTTCTAATGGTACATTACCTTTTTTCTTGGTTAGCATTGTGGCCTAGTAACTCACCTCATAACAGTGAGCAATAAAGAGACAAATTTCAGCAAAGTGCATGTTTTGGAGGAGTCAGTTTTAGGAATACAGGAGTTACTTTTTGGAATATATTTTTAAGGACATGCTGGAAAAAGTTTTGCCTTCAGATATGTTGTATGTGTCACTTCTCCTCCCCCCTTTCCTTCTTGCTGTTGAAAGCACAAAAAGATTTGTTTGTGTATGAAACCTTTCAAATGGGAGAATGGAAGAGTTTGCACTGTGCTATCCCTGCTTAGAGATGGAAATTAATTCAGATGGCTTGAGGCCTGAATTTTTTTCCCTTCTTAGATACCTTCTAATATCTGAGGTCTGAAACTGATGAAAAATGATCGTTGAAATTAAAACAAATAGCTGTTTGTGAGAGACCTCAGACTTGGCTGTCTACAGGGGTCAGCAAGCTGCATGGCAGACATTGGTAGTGTCTGTTCTCTTCTAGAGAATAAAAGAAAGCCTAAACACTGGGGTTTGTCCCACTGAAGTCTTAAGTCTGTCTTAAATGCAGCTCTCCCTTTATCTCACCCACAGAGGAAGAAAGGATAAAGGTTAAAGTTGGTATTTTTATGGTGTTACTGCTGGTTTCGATTGAGAAGATAATGCTGCCATGGTTTTGAGGCTTTCTTGGGCTAGTGTTTAATTGTGTCCAGTGTATCATTACATAGACTGTTTTATTACACTATTACTTCTTCCAGAATTTACCTTCTAGGAGGTCCTAACTGACATGCACCAGATTTACAGAATATAAACCTAGCTTTCAAAAAGAGAGGCTTAGAGTTCCTTCAAAATCTTTCACTAACCACTAAGTTAATATTCAGCATCAAAGGCAAAATATTCTAAATAACCTGACACTGTTAAAGTTTGTATGTTAAGCTATATAATTTCAGAAATCTTAGGTGGATTCATTAGATGTTGAATCTTTGAAAGGTTAAAATCCACTCTGTGTGAACTGTTGCTTGTGTTTCTGTCATGTGAATGTTTCTAGAGGACACTTGAGCAAGCAAAGAAAATGTACCAAAATGAGTATTTAAGAAAATAATCTCATTTAGTTGTTTCTTTTGTAATCCCAAATGGTATGCACAAGGAACACACAATTCTTCCCCCAGCCCCCCAGCTATGGACAAAGGTTTTGTTAATTAGTTGTTTACTGACAGCAGACATAATGAGCACAGGTGTCTTGGTTCATAGTTGAGGATGATCTGGACTTCTCTTTCTCTGAGAACAGTGTGTGAAGTGTGATAGAGGAACGAGCCATCAGTGGTCATTTTTCTGGGTTCTGTGTGAGAGGTAAATGTTTCCTCGCATGTTTAGTAGCGCCCTGATGTAACATTGAGATCACTTCTGCGGTATGTGATCCATGGGATTAAAAGATCTGTTGAAAATACAGATCTTTGGGTTAGGGTTAGAGGGGACCTTAAATATCATAGTTCCAACCCCTCTGCCGAAGCATCTGCAGCTGAGAGAAGAGGGAAAATGCTCAGGGACTGACTGTACTCCTGCGATGATACTATTGACTGTATGGAGGATGGGATTGAGTTCCTTCTGCACAGTACCATCTTTATTGTTCAATATCTGCTCTCTTAGAGCTGCAGCAGAAAGCTTTTAAATCTCACATAGCCCCCCTGCCTTAAATGCAGACAGGATTTAAGTGGTGCATGGGGCCTGCTCAGGGTGTACTGTGTCCTTAGGTCGGGTATTTACCCAATAACACTGTCGTCTTTACTGCGCAGGTCTCAGAGTGCTGAGAAAACTTGAGTGAAGTGGCAGGATGAAGGCAGTGGGTAGAATTTGCAGTGTTTCTTGTGCATAACTATCAAAAACTAAGAGGACTCAGGATAGGCACTGTGGACATTAACTTTGTCCCCCTTTTTTTCAGTGATACTGTTATTAATGTAAAAATACTGGACAACAGAGAAACCTAGTACCAGTCTAGTAGAAAACAAATGGAAAGCTGCACAGTATATTGTACTGATGTAAGTAGAACTATCTGCATATAATGTGATTTTATTTATTGTTGTTTTTGTGTAGAGGAGAGTGCATATTCATGTCTGTGGATATAACCTTTTTTTATGTGTGTAATGTATTTTATTTCTTTTATGACTTGGTCTTTTAAAATATCTACATTCATTGGTGTCCTTTGACTTTTTGTTCTGTGCATTTTCTTTCACACATTTTAAAGATACAAGAATATCACATAACCTAAATTGTAACAAAATGTTTCCATTAAAGACATAGGAATATGTTATCACCTGTTTCTGTGGTGTCTTTTGTCGCTTATTCACTACATTCTTGGTCTGTTTCATATAGAGGGTACTCTCCTATGGTACAGAGTTAATAACAGGAGGGCTATTCTGGGTCTAAGACACTGTATAAACCCCTGCTTTTAATGATGTTTAGCAACTGATTAAATCGGGAATCAATCTAACCTTTCTCTGGGAAGAAAATTCCCCCTAGTATTTTAAGGTCTGGGAAAGGTTTTAATCAGTAAACTCCAAATAAACTTTGGATATTTTTGTATTTATTCTCAGTCCTCTAGAAATGCAATTAATTATGCACCAAATTATTTAGATGCATTGGAACCGTAAGTAGGAAGCATTAATTTTTATAGCCTGCAGAGAAGCAAAACTTAGCATGTTTTCCTAAGCTACAGATTCATTTCTTTGCAGCAATCTTATCAAATTGGGGGGATTTGATTCTGTTTCTTTCCTGTGTTATTAAATACAGTCTTCACATTATCCTGTTTTGTCTAGCCTTCTGCTTTCTGTATGCGTGTGTCTGTAGGAGCAGTGTTGCCAAAAGTAAGATTTGTGCTTGAGAGTATGCCAGGCCTTTATAATCTAAAATAACTTGGAAATGAGTGTGAGGTAGAAGTATCTGATCACACTCCTATCAAAACTACAAGTACTAAGAATTCACTGGAGAGCTGATGGAGAGATAGAAACATCTTCTGGGTTAACTGTGGACCTAAAGCCTTTCTACAGCCTAGGAAACAAAAAAGAGCAGAGAGTAAAAATACAGATTTAGAGAGGCCCATTCAGTTAGGGAAGGGTTGAACTACTTTCCTAATTGCACTGCCTTTCACTTGTCAATCTCTAAATGTGTCAGTACATTGAATTAACTCAATACTGCGAAGAAAAAAAAATTAATATTACCAGTTTTTACAGCTGATTAAAAGTCCAAACAGATTAATTTTCTTGTAGAAGGTATTCTCAATATTTGTTAGAATTGAGATTATTTTTTTAAATTTGCCTCCTCACAGATACACTTATAATTATATGCATGTCGTACAAATAAAAGTAATTATTTCTCCTGCTTTTGCTTGATGGCTGTGCTCTTATGTCTTCATCCCATTGCAAACAGGATTTCTCTGGAAGTACCTAGTAATTTTCCAGTATTTCTGTATAAAGCATTGTAGAAAAAAAAATGCACAAATAGTCTTTTGTGCTCCTGATAACCGCAGTAACCCTTAAGGTGCTTTGTGAACAAAAGTGCACATTTTACATGACTCATCTACAGTCTCCTCTAGCAATTTAAGATTCTAGTCAGGGTAAACTAAAGATTAGTTTACTAATGTTTGTTAATATTCTAAATTTTCTAGAAATCAGTAATGATTAATGTTTTACCCCCACTATATTATACATCTTCAGAGAAGACGGCAGGAAGACAGACTTCTGACATCTTTCCTTCATTGACAGCAATGGAAAAACGTCTCATCAACTTTCCTAAAATGAGCTTTTCACTCAGGCTTGGGAATATGGCTTGAGAGATCATTGACTGAATTTGTGTTCAGTGCATGACCCCCAGGCTATTAGTGCATGCCCAACATGTCATTATGTTCACAGTGACAGGACTTTCTTCCACTGTCGCTAGATTAATCATTTTTTTTAGTAGCTTGTCCTTCAAAATAAATGCTTGAGATATGTGTGATGAATTGTGAACATGTATACGTATATCAATATTTATGAAACAGTTCATCCAAGTGTGTTGGGTATCCTTTTGTCAGAGAGCATCAGCCAGTCTGACAGGTAAAAATTTCGTGTAGTGAAATTACTTAAGGCAATTGATCTTCAGTGGTAGCAACTTTTGGATATCATTTTAGATATCCTGAAACCTAGCTGGACACATTTTTGTGGCTTTCTTAGGAAACTATTTCTTGAGGAACATTCATCACATTTCTGAAAAATTATGGTGGCCTTTGAGCCAAATCTTGGTCTTGAACCTCTGCCAATGTTTTCTTGAGTTGAAAGAGCACTGCCAATAAAAAATAATTGTACAACTGACAGAACCTCTTTTCTTGCCTCCTATGAATAATTTACAGTCTATCATGCCAAGAAGGGTCTGCCTATGTACATATGCTACTCTTGGTAAATATTCCTAAATCGTCTTAGGGTTGGTTTGGTGGTCTTTAGTTCTCTACCTCAGAAAAAAATAATCATATTCCTCTTTTGATAAGTAAGTGCTCTGCCCAGCTTTTTGTTCTGGCAGTGCACTGGTTTATTGTCAGTGTTTATTACTTCTTGACATTGCCATCTAATTTAGACAGTAAATCCCTGGTTTCAAATTTTCATTGCACATACATGTAGTTCAGAAATAAGCTAATGGCAAAAGTCATAACCATGAATTTATAATCATCCAGGACAGGCAACATAGGAAGCCCATGTCTATGTAAGCCCTGTTCTTCTCCCACTTGTGTTTCTGCAGTACCAAAACAATGTCCTCAGCCTGCCCTATTCCTACTGCTCACTATGTGAACAACCTCCAACAACTACTACTGGGCTGCCTGTAAGCCAGCAAACTTCCCCTTTTGGGGTCTAGCAGGCTGATAGCACAGTTATACCATATAAAACAGAAAGGAGAAGCAGTGCTTGAGCTTCTTCCTCCCACATCTTGCCTGTCGTTACAGTAGTAGTGCTATGACTGGGGGAAAACCAGCATCCTGGCTTTGGATGAGGTATGGAGCTGCAGTTTTTCTGCCTCCCAAGAGAAAAATATGAATGTGGACCAGTGTTTTGCTCTACTCATTTACTGTTGTATAAAAAATGAAAATTCTGCATGTAAAGGTATTTAAAAATAATTTTCCCGTAATCTAAATGCCTAGACTACTAGACTACAGCAGGCATTTCTCACTTCTTATTTCTCTTGCTGCAGCAGAACAATTTTTTTATCATTATTTTGTCTTCAAATGGGAAGAGCGAGAAGGTAGACTATACTGGAGCACAGTGGCAATTTTCACAGCAACATGGATTTGAGGATTTAAATCCCTCTTAAACCCTGACAGAAGAAAGGTATGATCTGGTGCTTGTTACAGCCCTGGTAATAAATATTTATTAAAATGACTGTAGTAGGAACAGTCCCTCTGAGTGTGACTTATGTATCCTTGCCAAGTTAGATGCCTGAATCAAGGAGTGGACTAATGTCTCTGACATCTAAAGAGAGAGGAAGCTGCTCTCATGATGAAGAGTTTCAGATAGGGAGGAAATCCTGACAGCACTGTCTGTTGTTGAACTTGCACACACGTGATATGCCCCTGCTGAAAAGGATTGCCAGTAACAATTAACTTGACTGTTGCTTGGGCAGCCTTAGAGTGTATAGTATGCTGAGACTCCTCTGCAGTACTTACCTCCATGTGCAGGAAGGAGGGTCTAGAGGAAAAATTCGCAGCCCCTGACTAAATCCCTTCATGCAAGATTTCTTCAAAGCAAATGAAGGGATCCCACTTGCCCCCACTTGATTACTTCAGTGTTTCATGGAATATCAACTGGAATAACAGTTTAAGAAATAGCTTTCTCTTTTAAGAAAAAATACTTAAAGGAATACCTTAGACATCAAAAGGGCCAGTCCAATAAAACCACCCTCAATTAGGTAAGGGAGAACAAAAAGCGCAGCAACAGCCTGATGAGTACAGGAAATTAAACTGAAAGTCTTAGGCTACTGGGTAATGACTAGAAAAAGGCATATTATAGGTTGGGGAGACAAGGGCTTTGGTCTCTGTTCACAGGATAGATTTACCAGAGCAGAGAACTGGCCAGTATCCAACCTCCTACCCTCCTGGGATAGAGAGAAACAAGGCTTTCTACTGGGTCCTGGGCAGTTTCAGGGAACAAATAATGGAGCCTGTCAGGAAGGCACCAAAAGGTTTAAAGAATGTGGACTAGTCCCTGCCTTTTCACATGCCTTCTTAAACAGAAATAAACCTCAGAACCACCTGGGATTCACCCAGCACTACTTATAAATATGAATAATGGAGTAAAGACATCCAACAAAGGAAAATGCAGGCTATGTATCAGAAAAAATTGCATAAGAGTGTGATCTATTAGCACTCGTACACTCCTCCCAAAGGGGGTGGAGGTGGAATTTCTGTTGCTCAAAGTATTAAAACCCCAGGCCCTTGGGAGTGTGCTGCGGGAACAATCTCACACTGACTGGAGGGAGGATGAGGTGATTTAACTAGTAGTCATTTCCACCTCCAAATCCCTTTTATGTACATGCCAGGGTACCTTTAGTGACAAGCTGCAGTTCAACGCCAGAGCTGAAAGCAGCCTGGACACAGCTCGAGAGAGTGATTCAGAAGAAGTAGACAGGAAAGGAGGTATAGAAAGAGGGGTGGGGGTGTTAATTTGGCTGAGACAAGCCAAAGAGCATAAAAAATTTTCCAGTTCAGTTTCGGATGGGAACTGAGGCTGAAATAAAGAAAGAGTAGTTAAGTGATCCCATCATTCCTTAAATATTTATAGACATATGTCACATGCCAGTGGCAAGTATATTAAAGCCTCATTAACACTGCTTTCCTTAGTCAAGGCCTGACAAATTAATATAGATACTAAGGGCTTCTACCTCTGCCACAGATACCATTGCTCTCTAAGCCTTCACCTGGACCTGACCAGGGGAAATTCTTCTCCTGCCTGAGCTGCAACAAAAGTTTCCATCGGCACCAGCAGCAAGCACTTAATTTCCTCCTCCCTACAGCTCCCCCTTTTCTGCCAAGGAAATAAAAATGAAGGAGAAATAACCTTTCCTAATCGTGAATGTCTGCATAAGAGATTATATTCCTTTTCACCCCTTTGCGTTGTCAGTTGTTTCTATAGTCACTCCTTTCATCACTTGTTTTCACTTTGTCATTTTTTCCCTTTGTTTCCTCCATCGTCCTCTCCAGTGCCTCTACTCCATCCCTAACCTGTGTCCTTCCCTCTCCCTGCCAGTTTTCCTAAGTGCATTCTTTCTCTTTCTTTAAAGCCATTTTAAAAATTATTGTCTTGTTTTAAAGAGTCCACCTGGATTGTACACTCCTGTAGAAAAAGTGTCAGCCAAGCTGGCAGCCTGATACAACGAATCTCTGGCCCAGCGGTCTTGCCATTGGTTCCCCCAGGCTGTGCTGAGGGGATCTGCATTGTGCTCCCTTGTTCCCAACCTGCTCTGAGTGTTACCGTACCCCCTTACTGCTGCAGGGACTGATACTGAAGGAGAAAGTACCTTTCTCTATTGCTATGTGGCTCTGATTTTATTTCTGACTCACAGCAGAATAACTGCAAACAACTGCATTCCTTCAGAGGACATTGTGTCTGTCACCTGTCCATTAGCAGGTGTCAGACAGTGTCATGATTTTTTTTTTTCATAAAAGACAACACAACTTTCTTTAGGATATTTTGAAGATTTATTTATTTATTTATTTATTTATTTATTTATTTATTTATTTATTTATTTATTTATTGCTAGGTATAAGAGGCTTCTCTCTGATTTCTCAGAATCTAACCTCCCAGACTGGAAGAATGATCAAAATCCATTTGCAATATTGTAGCCTTCAACAGCATACAGACCACCTGTTGAAAATAAAGGTTATTGTCTGCCAAACAAACATTATTAGGAGTCTATGTCCTGCTAGAACATGATGTACCTAACTTGGCAGACTAATGTTAACAGGATAGTGCCATCACAGAGGGAGGAGGCAAAGACACACCCGTACATATCCCATGATGCCAGCACAATTCTTCCTATTCCTAGAGGCCTATAAAATTTCAAGCTGACTGTGTTATCTGTAGACCTACAGCCCTGTGTTTAGGCAGCAAAGAGAACCACAGTGCAGGAGAAGATCTTCAAACACTGATAGTAACTACTACTTACACAAGGCTCCACAAGGATAAGAAAGTTCTACAGAAACACCAACCAACACACCCCACATGGCATTGACAATGAGCAGTGCTGCCTCTCAAGGAATGTTTTAATCTTCTGGCTAAATGCCAGCTTAGTTTTCCTTGTGAAATAAGTTCTACAATTGAAACTCTGCGTAAGTTGATTTCTCCCATGACAGATCAGGCACCTGATGCAGCCCTTGCACTTCTGTCGCTGATTTGGCCAAATGTTGAACCTGACTATGGAGCAGATGCCACAGCTTAGTTGCATCAGAGTAGGGTGGTTAGGTTAAAATTCTTCCAGATGCAGCAGCCAAGGCTTTGAAAAAGTAGTAATGGTTTTAAATCTCTCAGTTCAGAGGATGCGTGATTTGAGATACTTTGATGTGATTTGTCTTTGTCAAAGGCTTACTCTGAGAAAATCACAGCTTCTTTAGATGCCCATGTATAAACAATGCATCCAAAATCACTAATCATTTGGAAAACAGAAGTATTTAAAAAAAAAGGTTCTCACATCCTTTTCAACCCCCAAATCCCTAGTTACTACACAAAAAATCTGATTATTATGTCCTTTTTTTGTTAACTGGTTACTTCTCACTAGTAGTTTCACAAATGCACATATAGGGGAACACACTGAAATAGCAAGAAAAGTGTATAGGAAACTTTGAAATATTGGGGAAAAAAAAGAACCACCAGCCCTGTGAATGGAACAAACCTGAAGTTGTTGCTTGAGTAACACCTGCATTCAAAATGCAATCTGAAGCAGGGCTTTCAATCAAAAACATCACCTTTCAGGCCTGCAGCTCTGGTAGCTTTAAATGTCCACATATTTACATTACATTTACACTGCTCCACTGCTCTGTGTTTCATTAGTTGCTTAGGCTCCCTTGTGGTTGCAAGGCTAACTGGATTAGTCCATGATTCCCAAGAAAATTAGTGTCCTGGGTGGGAGGCAGGAAGATGGGCAGTGTTGCAAAACAATTGTTTCCTATTGTAGTTCCGGTTTAAAAATCAAGGAGATAATGTTATACTAAGCTACTTATTAATAACTAATGTTATTAATAAATAGACTAGATATAAATCTAGTCAAATTGTATCAATGCATTCTCATGCACAACACACTATCTTCTGTATGATCATGCCAGATATATATATATGTAGATATATAGATATATGAAATACCAAAAGCATGCATTAACTACGTGGTGGAAACAAAGCTAAGTTGTATAACTATGTGTTATTTTTAAAAAGTTAGGCCTGAGTGCTTTGTGTGCCATAGAAATCATACCTGCTCATAGATATACACATTTCTTTCCAATGGTTGGAGAGCAAATTAATAATTGAGGAGCAACAGCTTTTTATGGGAATGAGAACTCTTTTCCCAGAACTTCCTTTGCACAACTTTCTTCAGGTTTGTCCTGTTCAGAAAAGGAAAACACAGATCTTAAGTATAAAGGACAAGCTTTAGAAACTGTTCAAGGCATGGTCTATCAAAATACATCTGGTAGAATTATTTCCACTGTCCCACCCTTAAGACACATGTGTGCAAATTTTCTCACAAATACTTGTGTATAGTTCTATCAAAGTAAAATACAGTTATGAAATGTCTTGTTTTATTTTCTATGTATTGCCGTTCTTACTCACGATTGGATGATCACATCTGAAAAGCTTCATATGTGAGATTGATTGAAAAATGTGCATCCACACTGTGAAAAAGAAAACACTGTTGAGCCCTGCTATAATGCTCTTTCCTAGAAATCCTGTTACAACTTTTTAAAATTAAAAAAAAATATTTTCTGTCAGCCCTTTTTTTTAAAAGAAATCAGTATTTTCTGCAAGAGAAAGAGTCCTTTTTTTCTTTAAATAGGTCTGTTGTCAAGCATTTAACACTATATTAGGAAATACTAAAATGTAAATAAGAAATGCTGCCTTCATCATTTTTTGCTGAAAAAGAACCGAAGGTTCAAGCAAGAGTTTTGTAGCAAGGTAAAACTTAAAAGAAGGTTTTCTGTAATTAAGGTCCTCATTATGCCTTCCTCTGTGCTTATGTGGTTTCCTAAAGGAATGAGATCATGAACTCCAGTAGTTTGTCGATCAGTGGCAAGTTTTGAAACAGTTGTTTATTTCAACTGTTTGACAAAGGGGTGGATGAGTGAAAAAGATACTTGGGGTTCAGAGATTTTGTTTAAATGGATGACTAAGTACAAGGAGGGGATAAGAATCAGAGGGAGAGAGAAACAGCTGAAGACCTCTGCTGATGGAAGGAATCAA